ACAATTTGGTGGTGATAGATACTGGAGTTTTCGTTGATAGAAGATTCGAGAATTATAACGTAAATTGAATCATATATTACGATAATATAATTCAATTATAAATATGAATATGACTAATGAATTATAGCAATATTATTACATATATGGGAAACGGAGAGATCGATAGTGGATCTCGAATTGAAAGGTTCACGTTTCGTCTGGATAATTTGGATAGATATTGGAGTTTTCGTTGACAGGAGATTTCAATTGTAATATAAATTGAATTACAATATTATAAATATTACAATTCAATTCCTCCATCAACGAAAACTTCAATATGTATCACCACTGAATTGTCCAGGCTGCACCAAACGTGAACCTTCAACCCGAGACCCACCATCGATCTCTACGTTTCCCATGGTAAATCGAGATCTCTCGATGATTCGAATCCAGCGCATACCGTGACTCGGCAGACAAGGCGTTAAAATCGCTCGGACGATCGACTCGACGGAGAAAGAGCAGCGAACAAGCAAAAATGGCGGGCGTTGCAGTTACCGGGAGAGGTGAGAACGTGACCCCAGCGTACAATGCTCTTCGGGGTCGACAGCTCGCGACGCGGGTTTTTCTTCACCTCTGCTCGCTTCGTTCGTTAGCTAATGGAATTACTCGAACGCAATGACACAGCGATTACGTAATTGCGTTTCCTTTCGTTGACTCCACTCTCGTGCACCAGCAGCCCCATTATTCTCCCTTCTTCTCTCTCTTTCTGTTCTTCTTCCGTATTTTTACATTTTCTCACACTCTCTGTTTCGCGAGTGAAGCTCAGAGCTGCTGGTCGATTATTCTCCGGAGACAAATGACACGGTCGACATGAGGAGAGCAACGAGTGGCAACTCGAAGACTCGTCGAACGTGTCGTTTGTGAGAACGTTCGCTTGGCTCCAAGTGCAAGTGAGGGCAACTCAGGGTGGTGACTCGTTGAATTTTCTGAGATCGTTTGGAAAACAGGTAGCTGCTTCAATGTTGACGATGACTTGGCGTTAAGAGTGACGTGTGTAACGAACATTGGCCGATTAGTTTTCGCCAGTTTCACCATTTCGAGCCTCGAGTTGTTCAGAAGGTTGTTTCGCAGGGATTAGAATAATTAATGTTACAACGTGTCACCCATTGTAATTAATGTGAAATTTGAAGGTGCAAAATGCACGATATATAAAATGTATTTTGATGAGCAGCGTGTAGTAGAATCTATCTAGTTCAATCAATCGTTTCGTTCATATACGTTTCGTGCATATACGCTCGGCTTTTATTGTTTTAACCTTATTGTAACGTTTAGATAGTCAATCATTAGTAATTTATACGAGTAAGAGGATTCCGAAAATCTGTTTGTCTGCAAGTGAGATAGGCGCAGACAGTAGCCTGGAGGCCAGCGACGTAATAAGGTCGATAAGTCGAAGACTTGAGTATCTCTGGAAAGAGAGACCGACACCGAAGGGAAGGTTGTCCGAGATGTACGAGATCCGGGTGTATCTCGCCATGGGGACACCAGAGAGCCGTGAAACGTCATTGTCGGGATATCCTGTGGACAGGTCGGCGTTAATCACGCCACGTGGACGCCCGTCCCGAACCGTGTCGATACATCAATGTCCATTAAATCCCCTTGAATCGGGGCGACGCGATTTATGCAGGTGGCCATCGATCGTGTGGAACCTCGCGAATTAATGAGCATTTCAGTTGAAGGACACGAAGGAAAGAATGAAAATTTCTTGGAATGACGAAATAAGATCCTTACCGCATTTTTTATACCTTTAGAAGAAAGTATATCCTACGCGAACATTTTTCTTTCTTATTTATCTAACTCTTAATTTTCTTTCTTTCTTAGAAGTCAGTTTCGAATTCATGCGTCCACTCATATATATATACTATATTCGAGAAGAATATTATTCTCATTCTGTGCTATAAATCTATATATTTCTGCTCTATAAATCTCTTCTATATTTCTGCAGGTTACAAAAACAGAGTAATAGCAAACTGTTCTTTTTGTGAAATAAAAGAAATACTGTTCTGTTTGTAAAAAAAAAGTATAAATATAAAGTGATTTGATCATTGTTAGAATTATAATAAAAAAAAAAAAACAAATTAGCCGGCTTCTTAAAATTTGTAAAGTTATAATAAATGGAGATCGACAAATATTAATTTATTTATAATGAATTAGCAATGTAATAAAAAAAATAGTATCACATTGTGGATAATCATTCAATCTTCCGCATGTAAAGCGTTGGAGACATAAATATTAGGAAGAAAAAACTTTCTTACGAAATTTATAAAATTTATCTTAATCTGAATAATATTGTACAATTTGTTTTGAGGAATATAAAATATGTAGAATAGTGATGGGAAAATACGTAAAAAAAGTTTTGAAGCTGTAAAGATTAACGAGAAAAAAGGTTTTAGTTATGAAATTGTTAGTTAAAATTGTTGTAAAATTCTCCATCTTTTTCTTGAACTCGAGGATCATTCAAAACTAGTTGCTTAATAAACAGGCTCAATAAACAATTAATAAGTAAATAGAATAAAGCAGAAAACTTAGAAGTAACTTAAACTGTTACATACGTGATTAAAGTTTCTAATTTATTCACTCGGCAAACGTTTAAAACGATTCTCTTAATCCCCAAACAATATCATCAAGGTATAATGAATAATGGAACGAATAAATAAATTAATACTAGATTACATTTCAGACTCTATGCGATACAGGTAAAATTCTATTGAAAATTCCAAAAGTGATCCCAAATGCCCAATTAAGTTGGGAATTAATTTAAAGTATCAAATTCCAAAACAAAAAAAAGAAGAATTGTAAAAAGACAAAGAGTAGAATGCCAAAATGTTCAAGGAAACAATTCACCGCAACCCTTGTCGTCCCCTAGCTTTTCATTAAAAACTCGAATCCGCTTAAAACAATTGATACCTCGTCGCCCTTCGCTAATCTCCAGCAAAAAAAAAAAAAACCCCGTCACAGCCCAAAACAGAGATAAAAAAAAAAAAGGGAGAAGGAAAAAAGAAAAAAGAAAGAACGGGGGAAAAGGAAGAAAGGAGAACCCCTCTGGGGAATTCCTCCTTGGTAAGTATCGACCGTTACCGTTTCACCCTTTCCACAGGGCCATCCGGCGAAAATAAAAACGACCGAGAGCCCTCTCGACCTCGGGGCTCTCTCTCTCTCTCCCCAGGGTGCCGCGAGCGTAAAGCTTTATGCTCGCGTTTCCATCATACCGGCAGCGCCGATTACGACGTATCGTCCGTTAAAAATGCATGCAATTAACCGGCGCCCCGGCTTCTTAGCGCGCCAACCCCTTCCCACCTTCTCTACCCTTCTTTCCACCGTCGAGTGACAAAATTACGATCTACCGGCTGCCGTTAATATCAGCGTTGCTTACGGCGAAGGAAATTGCACGGCAAGCAGGGGAGGGGGATGTTGCGAGAGGGAGATGAAGATGATCTGTGTGATGGGGAAGGGTGGCGGGATGAGTTCAACGCGATTTCAGTCGAGTTACGATCGAGAGGGGCTTAGGCGACCCTGTTTCGAATCGATAGACGGAGTGTGTAGCTTATGACCTTGGTGTCTGGTGGTTCCAAGACGATTGCCGTCTAATCAGAGGTATAAATAGATGAAATTAGGCTTTAGAAACAGTTTTAGACACCGTGATTAGGGATGGTCCGAAAACTCACGAATGGTCTAAGATTGTTTAGGGCTGGGAATTTGTAAATTAAACCGCGGGTTTTCATCGAAGGTATAAATAAATTTAAGCTTTAGAACGTGATTAGGGATGGTTTGAGAACACACGAATGGTTTAAGATTCTTTAGAGCCTGGGAATTTGACTTTGGTTTTAAAGCTTGGCGATGGTGAATTTGTAAATTTGTAAATTACAACGCGGATTTTTATGCATTCGTAGGAAATTCTAGAGTGCAATGTTTGCAAAGAATATCTAAAATACAGTGCTCTTGTAATATTTGTAACATTTGAATTTTCTATCGAAGTTTCATTTTTTTCAATTATACTTTCAAAACTATGAATTTGCACAAAAATCCTAAATTGCAGTCCTAGTAAACCTAGTAGTAGGTTTGTGAATTGCGTTTAACAATGTTCGCGCGTGAAATTTTGATTACGTTATGAAAATTCGTACTAAATTTTGATTGACGAAGTAACCTATTGAAAATCAACATTGCAAAATTTCATTCGCGATTCTTCTCGATTGATTTATATTATGAAAATTTTACTTTTTAATATTTCGATTATAGAAGGATTTATTTCACATTTATCTTCGATCGAAAATTGTCTACAATTTTATGCGACGAGAGAGAAACTGAAATATTTATAGATAATATCATAAATTACTTCCTGATTCTCATCACTATTACGCGAAATTTATATCTACGTTTTATCTCATAAAATGGATTATTTAATCTTTAATTTTAAATATTTCATATAATGTATAATTTATAATTGTGTACACACACATACACACATACATATAATTTTATATTATATGCATTATTTTTTTATTATTTTTAATAATAATAATAATGATAAAGATTATTATCATTTCTAACAATAGTAATCATAATTGTTGCATCGAAGATTCCGTATATTATTTCTTTGCAAACTGGAAATGCACATTTGCTTACGTATTACGGGTACGTGCCACGTACGTACAACACGAAACGCGTCCGGGGGCTCCACGAGATAACAATTATTCAATAAAAGTAAATCAGATGAAACACGCAAGATGTGTTCTCCTCTGTTACATAAACATTCAAGCTACACGCTTGCACCTGACACACGCGCGACCAATATCAATCCGTGACCCGATAACGCCGCCGATGTTACGTATCGGTGATACGCATTGTTTTTCGTTACGTGAGAGATTTCAACATCAAACGTGTTGATGCAGCAACGAGGACCTCTTTAAAAACCAGGCTCGTCGCCGAGATGAGCACAGTTCAACGTCGACGAACAATCGGAAGAAATGCATTTGAAGCAGATTTTCGTACTGTTCGCTCTGGGCCTGGCGATGGCCCAGGCAGTTCCAACGTCGAAGATCGACGGGATCCTAGAAGAGGAGATACTGAAGTTGGCAAAAGAGGCGAAAGACCAGGAGAGATCCAAGAAGTCGGTGCTCTTCTTGAATCAGCCTGCAGCGGCCGTTGCGGGTCAGACTCTAATCCAGGTGCCTGGACAACCAGCTCAGTTCCTTAATATCCAATCGGTGCCACAGACTGTCGAAACTCTGAGCATACAGTCCAACGGTCAGCCAGCTCAACTTTTCAATATTCAATCGGTGCCACAGACTGTCGAAACACTAAATATACAGTCTAACGGTCAGCTAGCTCAACTTCTCAACATCCAATCGGTGCCACAGACCATTGAAACTCTGAATATTCAACAACCAGTCCAAACTCTCAGCATCCAAGCTAACGGACAACCAGCTCAGTTCCTGAATATTCAGTCTGTGCCGCAAACTGTTGAAACCTTGAGCATCCAATCCAATGGCCAGCCAGCTCAACTTCTCAATATCCAATCCAGCCCGCAAACTGTGGAAACTCTGAGTATCCAACAACCTGTTCAAACTCTCAGCATCCAGTCTAATGGTCAATCAGCTCTCAACATTGCTCCGCAGACTGTCGAAACTTTGAGCATCCAATCAAATGGCCAACCAGCTCAACTTCTCAATATCCAGTCTGGTCCACAGACTGTCGAGACTCTTAGCATCCAGCAACCTGTTCAAACTCTCAGTATCCAGTCTAATGGTCAATCAGCTCTCAACATTGCTCCGCAGACTGTCGAAACTTTGAGCATCCAATCAAATGGCCAACCAGCTCAACTTCTCAATATCCAGTCTGGTCCACAGACTGTCGAAACCTTGAGTATTCAATCCAATGGTCAACCAGCTCAACTTCTCAATATCCAATCTGGCCCACAGACTGTCGAGACCTTTAGCATCCAGCAACCTATTCAAACGTTGAGCATCCAGTCAAACGGTCAACCAGCTCTCAATATCCAGTCTGCTCCGCAGACTGTCGAAACATTGAGCATCCAATCCAATGGTCAGCCAGCTCAACTTCTCAACATCCAATCTGTCAATCCGCAGACTGTCGAAACTCTGAGTATCCAGCAACCGCTTCAAACCCTCAGCATCCATGCTAACGGCCAGCCAGCTCAGCTGCTCAATATTCAATCGAGACCTCAAACTGTCGAGACACTCAGCATCCAACCGGGAGGACAGATTCAAACTTTGAACTTCGCCGATGGTCAACCAAGCGCTACGGTGATCACTCAACCGGGTTCGTCGGTCATGGAGATCATCCAACCGGCTCAAGCTCTGCCAGCGCAGACGAACGTGAACATTGTCCAACCATCGGTCTCTGTCAAGGAATCTATGACGGTGCCTGGTGGCGCAGTCGTCGAGACCATCACCCAGGAAATTGTCAACCCGATAACGGAGGAAGTGGTTGTACCAGGTTACAGAGAGCAGGTGGTCGTTTCGCCGTCGAAGTCTTTTTTTGTGATGGACCAGGAGACGCTGAACTCCTATGTGAACGTCCCTCAAATACAACTGTACAACCCGCGAGTTCTCGCCGCGGTAAGGCCAAGCAACGTGGTCGTGGAGGAGCCACTGCGCGTCGTAAAGGAAAGCGTGGTCGACACGGTGGTGCCAAGCAGAATGCTGGGTGGTCGAATGCTGGAGTCAATGATCTCGCGCGTGGTTTAAAAAGTAGGTCCAAAAGTAGATTGAAAAATGCGCGAATAACGTAGTCTAATAAGGCTAACAATATTTCGATGAATTTAGTGAGACACGTATTACGACGAATTATAAGATTAATAGTGTAATTTAATGAGAATGCTACACGCAAGTCGTAGAATAATTTTCTTGTAATTTGTAATTATGATTGTAATATTCATATAATTTGTGGGTTATTATGGATATTTCTGTTATTTAAATTTGCGGGATAACGGAATACATTGGAAATATTGGAGAAATATAGAAATAATGTAAATGAAGCTAATCGTTGGTCATTAATTTTAATTCGCCTTTTTTGGTTAACAGGTGTGATACAGCAACTATGGGGTGAAGGGTTACAAGTATTAATGGACATTATTGACGAAATAATATTAATTCTATATTTATTGAGGGCGGAAATAAACAGCATATAAATGTGTAACCTAATTTGTCTTAATATCATCCCACTAAATTAATAAAGTAATAAATTTCATCTATCAATTTTCGATTTTCATTGCTTGATATAATAACACAATGTACTAGTGGAAAATTTGGACGACAGATTAACTTTTTCGCTATGATCGTCGACTACGATTAGCAATGTGTATATATATATCACAGATGAATTAATAATATAATTTTTTATTTTTTGATTGAACTTTAAAAGATTATTTAGAGACGTTTCGTTTTAATTCTATTTAACATTTAAGTCTTTTGGTACTGTTCAAGATATGAACAATTATAAGGATGATTAAAAATTGAATAATAAACAGTTTATCACTTTTCAGCTCCAATAACTTTGCACCATTATTTTTAATCGCATCATACTTAGTAGATACATTTCCTATCAATAATCTGTCAACTTACGAAAAAATTCGGATTCGAATTTTTGTCATTATCAAAACCCGCATGTAATGTCCCAATTTGCATGGTTGTTCATTGTTCAAGTATTAAAAAAAAAAAAAAAAGGAATCGACACGCGTGGATATCTCACAGGCCTGCACGAAGACGTCCCCGAACGTTGTAAAAGGTCTTAATCGGAATTCGAATCGGAGTTCGGCCGACTCGAGGCTCGATACGAATCTGACCTCACTTCACTCGGCTCGAGATCGGCGTGTGCCCGCGTGACAAGGACCAAAACGGATGACGAGCGACTTCACAATAGCCCCGAGTCGGGGAGATTTACGATAACGTCGATCGTGCTGCGAGTCGTTCATTCATCATGGCGGAGACAGCGCGCGATTGTCAAAATCGTCGCGACAGCCTCGTCGTTCTGGTGCGTGTCGCTGAGGCGGCGCAAAGACGACCAAAACCGATCCTGTACCGATCGTCCCGCCCTCGTGATCCATCTCGATTACGATCGACCGATTCTTAAACGTTTCTCCAACGAGAGAGAGCCTGTTCGCGTTGACGAACGATTCGAGTTGGAAGATTGCTTGGGAAAAAATGGACGTGACTTTTAAATTGTGTGGTTTGTTGCCTTTTTTCCCTGATTTATCTATTTTTGAGGTTATGTTTTTTGTTCTCGTGAGAAATCATATCGTTTGGTGAATAAATGAATTTATTAAACAATTTTCGCTATGTACATAACGTTCTATTTATTTATTTAATCTTTTGACGGAAGGGTTTCATTAAATCGTATTTAATAGTTTCGTAGTTCTGATTGTCACAAGTAAAATGTGCTGTAAGACGAAAAAGTCACGAAAAAAATGAATATTCTTTTGTTGTTTCTCCTTGCTTTTTATATAGAAAAGAAAAGAAAAGCAGAAAAAAAAAATAGCGTAACATCGCTGCGCTACAACTTTCTCCTCGTGTAGAACGCAAGGTTCTCGTAGACTGTAGAATCTCTTACGAACATTCTGTTGCAATTTAACCACGCAGGTGACCGGTTGACCAATACCGTCGACCCAGCCAAACTTTCCCTCTTGCATCGCGATAAAAATGTACGAACGCAACGTCGCATGAAAATAGCAATTCGCGGTGCGTGCAGCGCGAACCTGCAGAGAAGGATAATTAACGAGAAACAGCGTTTTTATTGTTCAGCCGATCTTATCGCGAAC